CTTCATTATCAACCAAACATTTTTAGTCATTCAAACTCTTAGACCATCTTCAATATATCTTAAAAATAGAGATTTTGAAGATTTTTGAGATTTTAGGAATTTGGGTGTTGTAACGGTTATGCTAAAATAAAGAAAAAGAGAGAGAGAAAGATGTAAATATTTAAACTGAAGAAATCTTTAAAACTCTGTATAGGAGAGATAAATAATAATATAATTTTCTTTTCCACCAATAAAAGATAAATTATTAAATATTTTAATAATATAATATATCCAATATTGTTAAATAGAGTAATTGTTGGAGTTGAATGTAATTTTTTTTAACTATTTTGAATTTAAATACTCTATCTTCGAAAAACTAGAGCATCTCCAACATGTATGCTATATTTTCTCTCTCTTATTCCAAGTTTAGAGATTCTCTATTATCTTTTTGTAATAACCCTCAGGGGCTGTTTGTTTGGCTCTTAATGGTGACATTAAGAGCCAACCTCTTAATCGGTAAGAGGTAAGGGTTGTTTGGCAAAAAAAATAGAACCTCTTAATGGTTACAAAAGGCTCTTAACGATTTAGCGTTTAGGGCTCCCCTAAATGATTCAGAGGGGTCTTCTTTCATTTTTGCCCTCTCCTCAAACTTCAACTGGCAGCTGCTGCTCCTCCCATGCCTCCCACCCTCTTTCCTCCTTCCAATCGATCTCACCTCCTCCCACGCCTCCCACGCCTCCTTCCACCTTCCTCCTTCCAATCGATCTGTTGAAGGAAACGATTACACTCACAGCAAATCAAACCCACAAAAAGTCTCTTCTGTATTGAAATCAAAATCAAATCATAGAACCCAAAAAAAATCGAGGGTTCATAGTGGGTAAAACCACCCTACCAAAATCGCTCTTGTTGGTCACTGGAACAGAGAATCGATTAGAGAAAAGTCATCGGTGGTGGTCATCATCGAAATAGAGAGAGGTAAGAACAGTGACTATGCCGATGATCCTAGTGATAAGAAAATCACACCCAGATTTGATTTTATGTTCATGTGCAGTTCCATTATCATGAAGAAGCAGTCAATGGTAACTATTGAGTAGCCAATTTGGGAAACAACGAGTTGGTTGGGGAAAATTCTTAAATTTGTTAAGGGTTAAAATGGTAATTTGTTGTCATTCAGAGAACAATTACCAAACAACCTTGTTTCATTCGGCACTTAACCATTCTGACCCTCTTAACCATTCTGACCCTCTTAACTATTCTTACCTCTTAACTATTCTGCATTAAATTATTCAGCAACTGTCAAACAACCCCTCACTTTATTTATGTTAATCTTATAAAGTTTTAGAGTTAGGTGTGTAAATCTTTCTATTCTCTAGTGATCAAAGTTGTAAATAAAAGGTAAATAGGTTTAGAACAATTCTTCACCTTTGTGTATGTGTGTGTTTTGGAGCTTGGAGGAGAGGAGGTCTCATTAGAGGCAATTGCCGATTAGAGGAAGGAGCAAGTGGAGCAACCATCCCCTTCAGGTAAGAACCTTATTTCCCTAAGTCTAGATCCTCCATTAATGGGGTTTTGATGTTGAAATATAAGATTTAAGGGCATCAATGAGTATTCCTTTGTGGTGTATCATGTTTTCAATGGTAGATCATTATGGTTTAGTAATCTATTATAGAAATCCAGTTTTAAACATGATTTTTTCCTTGAGAATCATGGTATTTAATGTTTTATTGGATTGATGTTGAATGTGAGGTTCTAAGGGTAGTGAATTCATGGTTTAATTTGGAAACTGGATAACCAATGGTGTTTGTTGGATGGATTTAAGTTATATATGGTTTTGAGAGTTTTCTACGGTTCCTATGTGTTAAATTGAGCTGGAAATCTTGAGTTGATGGGAGAAGTTGTGATTTGGAATTAGACCTGGATTGTTGGGACGAAACAATGTACACAGTGACATGCGCGACTTAGTGTGTGACCTAAGTCGCGGCGCACGAAGCTTAAGCCACTATTGTGGCATGACTTTGTCCGTTTCGTTTCTCGTTTAAATCCAGAGTTGAAGTAATGTTTTAGGGGATTTTGTAACACCTCAAGATTCATATTTGCATATAACCATGTATTTTATATAACAGGAAATACAAATAGTACACATTTGGTCCGAATAGTACAAGAATCTATTTTACAGAATTTACAACCAAATTTTTCCACAACATTTTTGTACATAACTTGCATATATAACAAGTATTCCAAAACTTCAATAGATAATAAGCTCTTCATCATAACCTATGCAAGCATGAAAGGAAAATTCACATTTTTCCCTTTCCTTTATCCCTTGATAATAACTGACCTACAATGCACATTTTAAACACAAAATGAGGGTTAGACCTTGAGGTCTAGTGAGAAATCATTTTTTATGCAATTACAGGGTGAAAATCACCAAAACCTGTTATAAAATCATATTTGTAATTTTACAAATATCTAATACCTTTTTTACGAAATCCAAACTCAAATACCATATTCCCATAAAGATTTATAAATTTATTCGCCTCACATAACGCATGACCACTTAGGTCATCGCATCTCTCTATGCGAAATCACCCAGAGCTCCTCTGGCTCTTAAGAACAAGAGCTCCTCTGGCTCTTAATCCAGAGCAAAAGTCAAACAATACAAAGTCACTATAGATTTAATCATGAAGTCTTGATCAACTTGAAAATGATATAAACACGTAATATGATTAACCAGAGCTCGTGTGGTTACTAAACTAAGATAACAGAGGCCCTCTAATTAACTAAGAAGGTCAACCAGAGCCTCTCTGGTCCTCTACCAAAAGGTTAGTATATTTTCTCAAAGACTTCATCAAATAATTAGAAATAATTCGCCACAGGCCAAGCCAACCAGAGGTCCTCCAGATCCCCTTTCTGGTTGAACTATGTTCTGGGTTCTAAATGACAATAAAGAAACAAAGTTGAATATGATTCAAGTCCAAAAGGTTTTTTGATACAGAACTTGGATACATAGCTTGGACTTAACATTAAATTCCATGATACGAAGCCTCTGTATAGCAGATACAGAGCCTCTCAGTCAAAGTATAAAAATATTTGAACTTAAAATTGTCTCTTACAACTAGAGGCCTTCTGGTTAGTCTTGAAGACCAACCAGAGCCCCTTTGATTTCTCATCAATCTTTACTTAATTGAACAACTTGAAGAATAATATTCAGATCAACCCAAAAACATTGTTAATTCAAAACACAGGCAATCAAAGCCTCTCTAATTATAAACAATTTTTCTCCTCTTCATAACAACATTGTTATCATATCAATAAGAGCAATAATTTCAAGTCCTTATATCACACAGAAGTGATAACTCAATATCATTGCATCTCATGGATGTAATAACAAAATGTATGATCAAAACTCATATTTCACAATTCTCACCCTTATCTAAAGGTACATCTATCATTGGTATGTCACCATTATCTCATGGAACACCTTTCCTTGATATTGTACCCTTATCCCATGGTACACCTCTCATTGATATGTCACCCTTATTCCCTCATAAAAATAACTCTCAGCTAGAGATGGCCAAATCGGCCCGGCCCGGGACCGCCGGAGGACCGGGACCGGGACCGACAAAGGACCGGCCTAGGACCGGGATCGGTAAGGACCGATTATGGGACCGAAAACCAGGACCGGTTGAGGTTTTTGATAGTTTCGTGGGACCGGGACCGGTTATGGGACCGACTATGGACCAGCCCGGCCCGGCCCGAAAATTCAAATAATTTTATAAATAAATGTATTTTTAAATAATTTTATAATTTATTTTTATAAGAAAACGTAATTATAATTATATTAAAACGCATTTTTAAAATGTATTTGAGTGACCCAATTGTAAATTTTATAATGTATTAAAAATATATATCATTAAAAAAATCAAAAAAAATTATTTTTTAATGCAAGTACCGGTTGGGGTTGGGACCAGGACCGGGACCGGCGGCCCATAACCGGTTATGAAGTGTCTTGACCGGTCCTATCATTTTTGACCGAGACCGGTTACGCCGGGACTGGTTATGGCCGGTTATGAGAAAGGTTAGGACTGATTGGGACCGGCCAGGCCCGGGACCGGTTTTTGGCCATCTCTACTCTCAGCTATGGATGTTTATTATCCGCTGCAACTATTGAGATGTATTAAGAAACCTTGTACTCGGTTAGGTGCTGGTTTGATTTTTGTTAATGAACATCGTTATTTTGGATTTTTGGTTTGTTACAATTGGTATCGGAGTCATAGTTTAAGAGATTTAGATGACTAGTTGGTACCTAGACTTGAACTGTAAGAAAGGGAACACAACTGAAATATAGGAAGCCATTAAGAAATACCTTAACATGGGCAGATATAAAAGGGTGGTGAGGACCCTCATATAAGGTAAATTTAGAATTACATCTGATCAATGTAACTGTGAATTACATCTCAACCATGGATGTTTATTATTTGCTACAAACTATTAAGATGTATTAAGAAACCTTGTACTCGGGAATTTTTGGTGTCGGTTTGGCTTCCATAACATCATAACCTTTACATATGTGGAAGCGTTCTAACAAGAGGTCAATAGCTATTTTAAGAACTATAACTCTTTATCTTGATTCCTTCATGCTTTACTCTGATATTACCTGAGATACATATACGAGATACATAAGCTTTAAACCTAGTGAGCAATTATGCTTTCATGATGAAACCATCTTTCATAAAACATATCATTTTGGTACATGAATAATAATGAACTACAGTTTTCATAATCATCCATAAATAACGTTGACACATAAAACAACTTTTGTAAGAATATCATTTGAACATCATTTTTTTAGTGCGAGATCTCATATGTGTAAGTATGTCAAACATTCTCAACGGGATCCTAGATCTGTGGGGTTCTATGAAAAATCTTCCCTACGGTGTTCGGCAAAGGATATTCCCCTGGAGGTCGTAAATCTTGAATGTTATAAAATTGAAAGGTTATTGAACATTTAAACAAAATTGAAAATTTAGACAAACTAGAGGGACCACTATTGTAATTCACTCGAGTAATAAAAGGACCCCAGGGCCCACTCCCCGGCTATTTGCTCCCTTATAAGTACGAGCGCATGTTCCCAGCAGTTCCCCATCGACTCCAAAAGCAGCACATCTGTATCTGTTGCCATGGCGATCACTACTCTCGCAGATATTCACCCTCATATCATCCAGACCCACATCTTACCACGACTCGACGGCCCATCTCTCTCCACCGCCGCCACCGCATCATCCTATCTGCAAGCTCTCTGTTCCGACGACCATCTCTGGGCCCACGTCTCCAAAACCACTTTTCCCTCGATAAACCACCCACGTCTCCATCACGTCATCTCCTCCTTCCCCTCCGGTTACCGGTCTTTTTTTGACGACTCGTTTCCGGTTCTAGTCACCGACGTCAACCACCATAACCGCCCTCGCACCTGTTCTAAAACCCAACCAGATTGTGATCTCGACCTTCCATCTGAACTCATCTCAGCCATCGACATACGCTACCAAAACGACGTTATTTTCTCCAGAATCGAAATCACCGACACCACAAATGATTTCCTATCGCCGGCGTTTCGGATCGAATTAGACAACGATCCCGTACCTGAAAACTTCCAATCCATCGACTTGAAAGTCGACGAGCTGGCAGGAGCCGACCAAGAAACATTATCACACCTGAAAGAATCCGTAACATTAAACTGGATCCTAATCGACCCGACCCTGAAACGGGCAGGTAACCTATCCAGCATCAAAGCGGTGAGTGCAAGGCAGGACTGGATGAGTAACGAGACCCTTCTCCGATACGTCACCGTTTTACCAGGAACCGTACCCAACGAGGTGGTACAATGTAGAATAGAGGTGGTATTAGGGGTTGGTAAAGGAGGGGTGGGGTTGCACGTGAAGGAGGTGTCATTACAAATGCAGGATTTGGACTATAACCGGCTACATGGGAGGGATTTTTTGGTAATTACACAAGGGGTACTTTTGGAAAAAAATAATGTGAAGAGGAAGGTGGTGGATGACGATGAGAGAAGGAAGATGTACCAGAAGTTTAAGCAATTGAGAAGGCAGAGAAGTGAGTGGGTAAAAAAGGAAGAAGAAAAGATGGAGTTTGCAGTTAATGTCAATTATGCCCTCACTTTAGTGTCTTTTTTGTTTTCTGTATATTTTCTAAGTTTAATGTTACGATAGGTGTATGATAGTAGATTCAATTAAGCCAAACCAATGTCGGTTCTTGTTTTATATTTTGAAATCGTGGCATTCGATTTTTGGTTGATTAGTCCACTGTATAATAAATAAATTGTGTATATCATTTTATATATATATATATATATATATATATATATATATTTTTTTTTTTTTTTTTGAGAATTCAAGAGAAGGTCACGGCTATTTTACAAATAATCTCTCATGGATTTATTGGTGCTGTATTTGCTCTGCTATTCTGCCCCATCTTGGCTGAGGAAGAGTTACGGGCGCGTAAAACAAAAAAATACGCTGATGGGRGACGGGCATACTATGTGTAATGCTTCACTCATTTACGATAAATAATAAATAAAAAGGCGAGATAACCGTTTGTTCCGGTATAAATAGTTAGTATCTGTTCTTCCACCGCGAGAGGGGCGGATTGGGATTGTTTATATATATATATATATATATATAATTTTTTTTTATATATGAACGATTAAATGCAAACCACTCAATTTGTACAAACCGTGCAAATTACACTCATCCGTTGATTTCATTGTTTAATTTTATGAAATTGTTTAATCTTGTGAAATTATTTCCTATAATACTTTTTTTGATAAAGTTGTTTCATATATGGTTATGAAATTGTTTCATATAATACTTAATGAAATTTTAATGCAATTGTTTCATGTATTTTTCTAAAATTAAAATAATGAAGATGATAATATTCATGATTAACACCCTCCACAATAAAAATAATTAATCAACTTCTCATAATTACAAAAAAATAAACAAAATGAAAAATTATGATTGGTTGAATGAAGTTTGTACGGTTTGTACAAATAACGTGGTTTGCAAAGTAAACCTCCTATAAACTTGGTATCATGTGAGACCAAGGGTTTTTTGTGAGACCCGTCAAAACAATTCTTAACCCTTTGAATAGATCTACAATCTGAATATTTATAATTACAAAATTACCATGAGACTTCTCAATAATTACAAAATTGTCACCGTGCAACTTTAGA